AATGTCTGTTTACTAAGTCTTTGATAAAACAAATATAGCCATTCATTGGGAGTTCTATCTATTTTTATTTACTCAGTTAATATTATTTCAACAGCCACGTAATTATTCTTAATTTAGTACATTTTTTATTATATGCTTGCCGTCTAATATCAAAATGAACCTCTCAACATATATCTGGATTTATTATATGGTTCCATCATCATCTACCTAACTCACCATAGTATTACTAAATGATAGACAATTTCACTTCCAAGTTATTTATTTTCAAATTAAGGTAAAGAAAATTTTAGTGATACTACAAATAAGCATTCCAGTTCGAATCAAAGGTATATATACACATTGGTGTTTTAGATTTTTACTTTCCTCATTGGCAATCCTTTTGTACCCAAACCAGTAACCTTAAATGTATAGCCAGCTGGAGCAGGTTCATCGCCAAACGACGAGGTAGTTACAAATAAAGTATCCAAATTTGGTCCGCCAAAAGCCACAGAAGTTACATGCAAGGTAGGCAATTTGATTGCCAGCAAAATTTCTCGAGTGCTGATGTGAGTTGCAGTAAATGGAAATGGTAGTAAAATGTTAAAGATATTAGTGTTAGAAATAGGAAGAGAATATAAACTAAGAGCATTTTAAGAGATTTATAAACTACCATGACATTTACAATTCAGAATTAAGTGACTAAAATGTCAAAGAAAGTAGAAGAAAATATATACAAATTTAAAATCCCAACTGATTATTTCAAACTATGATTAAGATTACTTGAAAGTACTCAATAATGGTGCGGGCTACCCTGTCTTTATGTGTATTTTGGCTCATTCGATACTAACCTTGGATTCACCTTATAGACGGTATGACCTGTAAAGATGGCAACATAAATATTTCCCTCTGTATCAATAGTCATGCCATCGGGCATATCGGCATGCTTGAAGACTATTTTAGGGTTGCCTATAGTAAAAAATGTAAAAAAAAAGTAAAACAATATGAATATTAAATACATTAATAAATAAATTCTAACTCACTGGCCACGCCCGTATCCAAATCATAATCATACTCGTTTACTTCGTATTCGTTTGAGTCGATATAATAGAATTTGTTTGTTTTCTCGTTCCACGCCAAACCGTTGGAAAGGGTTACTCCCGACCTTATAACTGCCATTGGCTGCCCCTTTTCAAATCGATATAATTCACCAAGTGGGTTAGACTCTCTAAAATCACC